ATTGGGGGTTTTGTCTCAGTCGTGTGCTTGGGTCCACAGTGTTTTCACAAGGAGCCGTAAGTCCTGCAGGGACAGGACAAGGAAGAGAGCATCCTCGGGCTTTCAGAAGGTGGAGAATCTGGGGAGGAGCGAATCTGCTCCCGGACCCTGGGCACTGCCGCCTCCGAGCCGATAGACAAGCCTGGCCCAGGGCCTGTCGTCAGGCAGGAAAGGCCTGTGAGTCGCTGTCCTGCCGTCGGGCAAGAGACGAGGGTGCAGTGTCCCGTCTTGACCTTCTTCAGCTCAGCAGCCCTGATGAGGCCGGGATCTTTGGCCCCGCCGAATCTCACGTCGAAATTGGATTCCCGTGTCGGAGGTGGGCCTGGCGGGAGGTGTCTGGGGCCTGGAGCCCTCCCCTCGACAGTGAGCCAGTTCTCGCTTTACTAGCTCACGTGGCAGCGGGCTGCTTGAAGGAGCCGGGCACCCCCCTCCCTCTCTTGCTCCTGCTCTGGCCATGAGACACACCTGCCCACCCTCACCGGTCACCTTCCTCCCACCTGGATTGGAAGCTCCCAGAAGCAGGTGCCGGCACCACCACGCTCCTCATACAGTCTGCGAACCGTGAGCCAAATAAACCTCTTTTCTTTACAAATTGCCAGGCCTGAGGCATCCCTTTATAGCAGCGCAAAACGACTGACACGAATGCCCGCTGGTGTTTCGGAGAGGAATGCCGCGGCTTCTCTCACCCCTCGTGACAGTTCTCGGCACGCTGGGGGCAGAAGAGCGTGAGACCTTCTGTCACCCGTCATAAGGGTCACACTGACACTCCTATGACAAAAGACAGCTCACCAGAGAAAGACATAACAAATTTACTGAATCGAAGCTTCACATGACACAGGAGCCCTCAGAAACGAAGGCCCAAAGACCCAGGGGAAACCGTCCTTACGCTTCGATCTGATGAAGAACAGCAGCCGTGCGTCCGGTGGTGACAGACCAGGGCACCCAGCGAGGCCTGGCTGCCCAGGTTCTTCTTGGCCTCTCTGTGAAGCGCCCCTTCCTCCCAGCAACAGGGCAGGACACTTCTGGAAGGAGTGGAGGAGGGAAAGAGTGACCGTTCCAGCCTTCGTGGCTTGTTTTGGGGGAGGAGTTCTAGTGTCTAGATCGCCTGGGGAAGAGGAATTCTGTTTTCCACAACTCGCTCCGGGGTGGAGGGTCAGGAGACAGGAGGGCAGGAGAAGGGCAGCGAGACCTTCTTTCGAAGCCTTCCGACGTCCTTCACTTCAGAGTA